TTATAAAAATTCAAACACTCTATCCCACCATTTTTAATTTATCATTTTATCTTTATAATATAATAACTATATGTTAATAATATTCTTAGTTCTAATTAACTTAAAAGCTAAAATAATGTAACTTTAAATTAAAAAATGTTGATTTTTTTAAAAGTTATTATTAGGATTTATTTAACAAAAAAAATTTAAAACATTTAAATAGTTAATTATAGAAAAAATGACGTTTTTCTGTGTTCAAATAATATGAGAGTAGTCTCTATTTATAGCTTGTAAAAAGTTATGAATTTTGATATAACTTTTATTATTTAAAGAAAAAAATATTATATAATAAATGAGTTTTAGTTATTAGGTGAAAATAAAAATAAAATAAATCTGCACAATATTTATATCCAATCAATTTATGTCAAATGGCAAAGCTGACCAACATAAAATTTTATCAACATAGTGAAACTTTTTAACGGGCGTTGAATCTATACAGATACACATAATATTTCAACACCCTTATTATAAAGTATTTAACAGTTGAAACTCACTAACACCTCATTGTGAGTGGTCTAAGAGCAATGAAAGATGTCACACCGAACCTGTTCTAGAAACACGTACAAAGATTGTTGAGACATAGCATGGTGCATGTACATTCTTACTATTACTACGCTAAAAGCATTCTCACACTCGACTCGAGAACTTTGTTGTGAGAGTTATTTCTTAGTTATCAATAGGAATCACATTAATGTCCATGTTCAGACATAGTCATCTATGCCATAGGCAGAATAAATCATTGTTTAAAACTCAAAAAAATTTGCGGTCTTTTTGGGTTTAGAATATTTTTTTAGAACTAGGTGTTTTTCTGCACCATGTACATAAATAAAAAATTAAAAAAAAAAATTATATCTAAAGTAAAATTTATTTAATTGGTAAATTTATTATTTTTGTTATTATTAATTTTACGTTAATTATATGTAAAAATTAAGATAAAATAAACAACTTTTATTTAATTTTATATTTAATAATATATATGTATATCTTTAAAATTAAAATTTTAGAAATGTTTTTTTTTATTTTTTGGTTAAAATATGTTAAATCAGATTCTATACAATTAAGAAAAAATTATGTTAGGTATATAATGATCAAAATATAAAATTAAATGATATTTCTAAAATTTATAAATATTATAAATAAAACTAACGGTATTGGGATTAGAAATCATATTTTTTTATAAAAATCTGCAGAAAAGTTTGCAAAAAAATAAAAACAAATTATATAATTATAAAAATAGGCTTGAAAAACATTTCCATTTTTTTAAATATTTTTAGATTTCTATTTCTACTAATATATTTTTTATTTTTATGTTAATGATAATTTTTTGAGTTAATACAATATTCTAAAAACTTACCAAAATATATATTAAAATTCCGTGCTAATTAACAGGTTCTTTGCCTTTTTAAATGTAAATGTACATCTCATAACTAGTTTCAAGCTATGTCATTATTATTAGTGAACATGTCATCATTTTTGTGGTGAAATTGATTTTGGTAATCACACATGTCAAAATCATTTCGCAAATAATATATAAAGAATTTTATTTACAAAGGAAAAAAGATACATTTTTTAAATTGGAGTGGAACTTTTATTGGATATGGGCCGACCCTGGACATAGTGACATCAATACATCCATCCTTAGCCAGTCTTCTCACCTTCGAATGGTGTTGGTCGTATATATTGTAGCGGTCCTAGTATAATAGATAGTGGAAGGAAAATAAAAAAATGTATTCGAACCTTGATTGTCTACATGAATATTTTCCTCATAAATGAACCACTAAACTAGAAAGACTTGATGATTTTGGGTTTCATTTACTTGGTCCAAAGGGGTCGTATATGGACACCATGAATTCACTGTCAAGCTAGCTTTTTTTTTTGGGCAAACAAGCATTTCATTTCCAATCATAGTCTAGACTCCCAAGGAGGAGTTCAGTACAGAACAGGCGAGCACGGATTTAGCCACATAATCCGCCTCAACGTTAAAGTTGCGAGAAATGAAACTAAAGGAAATTACATCAAAGAAAGGAATAACTCGATAGATTTCAAACATGATACCAAACAGTTCAGGTTGATATCCTCCCGTCTTCAACAAATTGATTAGGGAGAGAGAATCAGAGAGAACCGTCAGAGATCGGACGTTTGAGTAAACAGCGCATGAAACCGCGCGATGAACAGCAATGACTTCCGCCATAATAGCCAACGAAACATGAGTGTGGACTTCCGAAATTACGGGGAGACTTACCAGAGCTTCCCCAGAAAAGACAGCTCCAATACCAGCCTCCGGTTTTTGCTTCCCAGGCCGCATCAACATTGACCACCAGTACACCATAAGGATTTAACGGAGGAGGTCGTGGGGCTCTGTTCTGGTTTTGGTGGAGAGATATTTCGCGAGGTATTCTCACCTCATTTTCCTGTTGCGCATCTGACCATTCTCGAGCATCCTTTAAACTCTTAAGCATGATCTCTCCAGCTGAGAATGCTCTGTTCTCATACAAAAGATGGTTCCTTGCTTTCCACAAATTCCAAAGAATCCAAGGCCACAATGGGATAGTAACTTCCGTCGGTGGCAAAGGAGTGTAGCTGTTTCCATGTTTGATCAGTTCTGCAACTGTTGGAAGAGAGAGTGCAGGTACTTGGATAGTCGGAGATTGATTCCAGACCTCGGTTGCTAATGGACAAAAGAGGAAAACAAGCTAGCTCCTTTTCGATAACTCCAATAAATCTATTTTTAGACTTTTTGTTTTATATTTAATTAAAATTTTAATTTTTAGATACAAATCTACTCTCAAGGAAATACATATAGATCTAACTAGAAAACAAAATTGAGGTTTGATCAAAAAAAAAAAAAAAAAAAATTCAGGAAAATCTCCCTCTCTCTTCTCTCCTCAAAATCCTTCGGAGAGAAAGACAATCGTTTTGTTTCATCGCTGAGTTCTTTACCGGCTCTCGTTCGTCCATCGTTCGAGCCTCTTCTCCACTTAAACGCAATCGACAATTATATGTGTCTTACGAGAATTGATGTCTAACTGCATTATCCTAAACTACCGTATAAGATCCATTTCTGATGATATTTTTTTACGTCATGAAAATTGCATAAGTCAACTTTACTATGAACTGTAACCTAGATCTTTTAATATAGAAATATTTGATGAAGCTTTGATCGGACCATTGGACCAAGAGTGTTTTCACAATCACAATCTTTTAAATAAAATTCAGAAAAAAACTAGAAAACAAAAGTCAAGTTTAATATTGATTTGTTTATGACTTATCTCGAGCGTACCATCCGCTACTCAGTGTGTGCTGTCAGGAAGGTAGGTAATATCGACCTGTCCTCGGTGATCTGGGTTGATAGATATCAAATCAACTCTCTATTTTTTTTTTCCTTTTAGTAATGATTTTGTGATAATTAAGTTTAATCTATACTATTAAAAGAGAAGGAGTCTAAAAAAATCTACCTTTACAAGTTGTTTTGGACCCTTTCCTTTTTTTAACTTTTTGGTCCTTCCCTATATATTATAACATCACACCTACGCATTAGTTTTACTCTATACTACCCGATTTTAAATTATAACAACCATTTCAATCTGTTACTAAACCATCGTACCAATAAAAACCTAATAACTCATGATGTCTCATTATATAATCTTTTTGTTTAACGATGTTAGGTCTCCTTACAAATAAAATTTAATAAAAATTGGGTACGAGGTCCGTAAGAAAGTCAGTTGGCAAAATATATATAAATGTTATCACTTTATAATATGCTGGTTCGTAACATAATATATATAAATGTTATCACTTGAGATAAATGTTTTATTAATAAATTCAGACCCAATTTCGATTCCTTTTTTAAAAAATCAATATTTTGACAAAAACAAATTATACATAAGTACCGTAAATAAAAATTTATTATTTTTTATAGTATAGATTTTATTAATAAAACATTTATCTCAAAGTGATTTTGATATGAGATTTTTTAAATAGATACTATTAATACAATGTACAAAAAGTTATGTATTTTTATTCAATATTTGGTACAAATTCTATTAAAAAATATTTTGATTAGCATATGATTTTTAAATGTGTGATCATATTTTACACTTAAAATTTCTTTTTATGCAAGTAAGATAGATATTGATATATCAAAAACTCTAAAACAAATATCAAATTTATATTTATTTCAAAAAATCATTAACACTTATTGATTTTACCGTATTTTTACATGTTCATTTTATTATATCCTTCTCTTACTATATACGAGTAAACGGATATAACAGTTTTATCACAAGTCTGACTGGGATATGAAAATTCAATGAATACGTTATACCCTTAAAATAATAATAGAAAGGGTTTTAAGTTAATCTAACCATATTTCTGAAAATTAAACAAAAAAAATACCCGCGCTTCTTAAGCGCGGGTCAAAATCTAGTCTATACTATTAAAGCTGAAGTACAAAAAATTAGTGTTTGGAAACATGAATAGGTATTTAAAATTATAATGATTGGAAACAAGGATAGCCTACAAATCTAATGGGTTTATTTATTAAACTAAAGATTACTGCGGCCCAAAGTATCATTATTATTGTTTTTGGGTTTCTATCATTGATATTACTTTATTTCTGAAAATTATTTATATATATATATATATTCATGTTTTAAATGTATTTAAAATAAATCAAGAATAATATATATTTTATTTATATAATTTATATTGACTATTGTTATAATTTTTTAACAGTGATATACTAGCCCTTCAATTCTTCATGAAAAAATTAACTTAAAAATTTGAATAAATTGTTTAATGTATATAACTTTGCACCAAATTTAGCAAAAAAAAAATTTATAAACTATTAATAAAATGTTTACGGGTCATAATATTTTACGATGCCCCTGTTACACAATACAGTGATGAAATACAATGTTTAAATAATGTACTATTACTTAGTCAAATTGGAACTATTATATTGTAATTTTTGAAATGTTTATATATACCATAAAAATAAATACCCGTCCAGTCGGGCGGGTTATGATCTAGTTGACATTAAAAGGGAAGAAAACTTGCCTGTTGAGGTGAAAGGAATTGAGAAACAGAAAGGAAAAAAAGAACGTAAAGCCAAAACTTAGAGGGGCAATCATACTAGTGTGATTAATTAAACATATAGCAACTACTTGCTCACCAGTTGTATTATTTATTTTACATTTGACAAAAACGATTAATGCATATAACAAAGGTACCATTGACTGAAATATATAAAGGAACATCATTATAGAACTCATTAGTTGACTTAAAAATGGTAGAAAACTTGCATGTTGGTATGAGAAAAGATAAGAAAAAAGAAGGCGAATAAAACTGACAAGATAAAAGACAAATCTTAGAGGTACAATCGACACTAGTGGTAAATTAAACAAATGGCAACAACTAGCTCACCAGTTGTATTGATATAAATTTGTCGCGTCAGTACCAACGCATATACATTTCACAAAAAGACATTAATACACTATATATAATAAAGGGAAACATACCATTGATTATATATAGGAACATCAATGTAGATCCATCTTTACTCAAAACAAAAGTGCAGTTTTCCCATCATTTTGCATCGTTTCCACCTCTAATAACAGCAACCAACAACCATGCCTTTGGAGTTAGGAGGACATGAGCATCCTTTAGCAAAAAGTACATATCTTGGAGGTTTATCTTGTGATGTTTGCGATCGTTCCTATCGTGATGGCCACTCTCGCGATCGATGGTTTCAAGATGGCTTCTCTTGCGATGAATGCGATTTTAAAGTGCACACGAAATGTATCTATGTGTTCAACATACTAGAGACAACCAAGCATCCTTCTCATGAAGGACACTGTGTTAGACTTCTCACAACGGGGGCTCCTGATCATCACACAGATCCGAAATGCCATATTTGCGGTGAAAAAACTAAGCGTCTTCTTTATCATTGTTCCATTTGTGATCTCAATTTGGACATAGGTTGCATGTTTGATGCCTTGTGCGCTGGATCTCAACTGAATATGCCGTGGCACTATCATCCTCTTCTCATGCTTGATGTTGGTACTTATATGCGGTGCGAAATTTGTGGTAAGCGCGGCTCATATGGCTACTGTTGCCCACGTTGTTGGATGATGGTTCATGAGAAATGTGCCTCTGTATTTGTTGATGCACCAGTGATCACTCATTCTTTTCATGCCAAACACTCTCTCAAGCTTCTCACCGAAGGAGCTCCCGGCTACACTGTTCCGAAATGTCATCTATGTGGAAAAGACACTGGAAACATTCTTTATCACTGTGATATTTGTAAGTTCAACTTGGATATGGCTTGTGCTATTCGGTCTTCCCGACCATTGTCTCTTTCAGATATGAAGGTCCATGAGCATACACTCACACTCATCCCAAGATTGATCTCTTTCGTTTGTGATGGTTGTGGAGAGAAAGGAGATCGGTCTCCTTATGTTTGTTTTCAATGTGATCTCATGTTCTTCCATCAAAAATGTGCTCGCTTACCACGTGTTATTCATGTCAATCGCCATGATCACCGAGTTTCTTACAAGTATCCGCTTGGTCCTGGAGATTGGATATGTGAGATTTGTTTGAAAGAGATTGATTGGTCATATGGAGCCTATTCTTGTTCCATATGTCCTCAATATACCATTCACTCAAAATGTGCAACAAGGAGAGACGTGTGGGATGGCAAAGAGCTTGATGGAGTACCTGAAGAAGACGTTGAGGATACTGAGCCATTCAAGATTAATGATGACAGAACAATCACTCATTTCGCTCATGAACATAACATGAGCCTCAACAAAGAAGGTGTTGCTTTAGCGGAAAGTATTTTGTGTGGAGGGTGTGTTCGTCCCATTGGCTCTGATTCATTCTACAGCTGTTCAGAATGCAGTTTCATCCTTCATGAAATCTGTGCTAATCTCCCAAAGAAGAAGCGGCACTTTCTAAGCCCACAACCTCTTAGTCTTATCCTCAATAGAGATACTGACGAAGGGTTTTGTTCTGCTTGTTGTTTACGTTGCTGTGATGGATTCATGTATACTGATGAAAACGATACCTTTGATTTACTATGCAGTTCTGTCACTATGCCTCTTATTCATGGAAGTCATCCGCATCCTTTACTCTACCTCGAAAGAGATAATTATGGTGACAGAGAGGCATGCCAGGGTTGCAACAGGGGTGGAGAACTCGAGCTTGGTTGTATCCAATGCGATTATTATTTGGATTTTCGTTGTGCTACTCTACCAGAAACTGTAAGTCTCCACAAGTATGATGATCATCCACTCACTCTTTGTTACGGTGAAGAGGCAACTAGCGGCAAGTATTGGTGTGATATATGCGAAAGCGAAACAAATCCAAAGACTTGGTTCTACACATGTTATGATTGTGGAATCACTCTACATGTTTTCTGCGTACTTGGTGATATAAGGTACGCCAAACCAGGAGGGAAGATCGAAGGCGACCTTGAATTGATGGCTAACAATACATCTTCAAGACCACTTTGCAACCGTTGTCACTGTCGTTGCGCAGCTCCCTTCTTTCTTCTTAACAAAAGCGGATTATACTGTTCTGTGTACTGTTTTCAACGTACTGAAGAGGAAGCATCCTCAATTAGTATTTTTGTTTTACGTCCTCCATGGGCAGATGAATCTGTGTTTTAAGAGCTGGTAATATTATTGTTTGAAACTCATCTATTTCATTATTTTTTTCAGATTTATTTTTCTTTGAGGCTGAACCAATTGATGTTGTGACTATTAACTGAATAACTAGATTTTGACCCGCACTTAAAGAGGGCGGGTCAACCGTTTTTGTTTTAAATTTATGCCCTTGTTCGATTATTCACAAGTATGTATAGGCATGAGTATCCGGGTTCAGATCGATTGTCGTTAATAATTTGGTTTGGTCCGACATATATAGATTAAATAAAATTACGTACAATTTAATGTGTGGTGTAGGATTTTTTTTATTCGTTTTAGTTAAATAACAAATTATAGGGACCCGATAAAATTATGAGTTCTATTCGGTAATCTAAATGTAAAAACTGAAATAAGATAATTAATTTTTAATAATTTCATATTGGTTAAAATTTATTTTTTAAAATAAAATTTTTTTTTAGATATATTTTACCAATTCGTTTTTGAATCATTCCTAGACAGAGACCCGTTTCTTGTTGATAAAATTATTAACTCGTTTGTTAGATGACAATAGAAATAAAAAATGTATTTGTGAGATCCATTTGTACTCAAGAAATATTTAACATATTTAATGAAACAATCTGTAAATATTAATTGTAAAATTTCTACTTCATNATATTTTAAAATATTGAAAAATATTTTTCACATAGTTTTAATTGTAATTTAAGTGCAGATGTTAAAAATATATTGGATATTTTTAATTTTGAAAAATAGATAAAACAATTATAGAACAAACAAATCAATCCTAAAATTAAGGAGGGGTTAAAATATTAGATTTTATTGTTATTTGGTTATTTAAAAAAGCTTAAAATTATTATTGTTGGATTAAATAGATTTTGTTAGGATTAAATAGATTTTGTAATGAATTAAATAAAAATCATAGGTTTTAAATATTCTAGTGGCATATCTGTAAATATTATATATTTTGACCCGTTCTTTGAAAGCGCGGGATTTCGTTTTTGTTAATAAAACTATTAATCCGTTTGTTAGTTTATAATAAAAATGACAAATATATTAATTTAACCTTTTTATACTTGATAAATATTTTGTGACCTGAAGCAAATGACCATATTAAAGAAATTTTAGCTTATTCCCATATATATATATATATATATATATATATATATCAAAATGAATTTTTGACCCGTATACAATGCAGAAATGATAATGATAATTGTAGTTATATATGGTATGTAAAAAATAATGATTTGGAATGTATAAATAAAATAATATCTTTTTCTATTTAATTTTATTTCAAATTAAACACTATTCATTTAAATCAATATGAATTGTTACAATTTTGAAATACGCGCATAATCCGAACAATATTCATTTTATTAGATTTTTAGTTTTACATCACCAAGCATGATATTTTCTTAAATAAATATTATAAAATCCATATGTCTACCTAGTAAGACTTCTTGGTACTTCTCTTTTAATAGGGAAGATATAGACTATAATTATAAATTTATTAAAAATATCAATCTATATTATTTTTAGGTTATAATAAAATTTAATTAATATAATTTAAACTAATATTATGTTACTTAATTACGAATTAATTAATGCATTATTTAATAAAAAATATTTAAAAAGTTTAGTAGGATTTTGGCAGATTTTTCTCAACAGATTTCTTTATAACTAAAAATATAATTAAAATTAATAATTAAAATTAATAATCAAAATTGATTTATTATTAATGTTTTATTGATTATTCTGGAAAAAATTGAAGTTACATGAAAGTTATCGAGGTGATCAATTACATCGCTTCCATTCTTTAAACTTTTTATTTCTTGTATGAGCTATAACCTCCTTCGATTCCTGTTATCTGGACGGACACACATCACTATGTCAATGTGGTTACCATCAAACATGAAATTTAAATTAACATGATAACACAATTAAATTAAGCAAACAATTGGGCAAACAAATAACTAACACAAAAAATTCACATATAAGTCACGAATCTCTTTTGATTGTAGCCATTATCCCAGTCTCTGTTAGACCTGTATAAAATCACAAGCATGACGTTTAAATTAGAACTATAATTTGTTGAAAAAAAGAACAAAAAAGCTATGAAAACGAAAAGCGGATGTGTCGATTATTGAAATGAGAATACCTTTATATAATGAGTTGAAGANAAAACCTTGAAATTCAGTTAATGTGTGTTAATGGAATTTGTTAAATCATTATAAACTGTATGCGTTAAAATCTAAATTCATTATAAACTGTATGTGTTAAAATTAGCCGTGTGTTTTGTGATCTTGCGGATCAAGTTTATTCAAAATATGGTAGATTAGATTTTATTGTTTTAATTATATAGATTTAAGTTACTAAATGGTGCGATTTTTATGTTATGATTGGTTGTTACTGATATTTTAAATATATGATAATACTTAGATTGCTCAGCTATTTACAATCTACTATATTTGTTTTTTAATTTAACAACTTACCGAGATTTTAGTTTATTTGAGTAAAGTTTAGTTTTTATTTATTTATTTAATTATATATATATAATTATTGATTTGATTATTCTATGAATAGATTACAACTTTAGTTAAGATTGCACAAACAGAATTTTATGCTAAGAAGGATATTTTTTTATTTAAAAAAAAATTTCGACTTACAAAACAAATTTGTTAAATTCGTTATGGTTCGGAATCGGTTGCGATATCATAATCGTAGAAAAAATTTATTTGAAATGCTAGAATCGGTATATTCTAAAGAATAAGCATAAATAAAACAAAATATGCAGAGGATTACTCGTAATTATGTATTACTAAACATATACGTCGATTCATCATTTTAATGAGATAGTAATGTTTGTATGTACATTAATTTATATAATCGTAGGCACATTTATTTCGTAATATGGATGGAAGGATGTGTTTGATTCAAAACGTACATGACAAATATATATGTGTTATATCATGCAAATATATAGGCAATGTTATCTCGAAAGCATATATAAATAAATGAAAAGGGTTATATTAATTAAACGTGTGATTTTTGCTGAATAAATAAAAGGAAAACAGAAAACATAATTAAATAAAAAGTATTGTTTTAGAATATTCTATCGGGTCAAACCCACTTGCATCGGGTAAAACCGCTTTAATACAAAGCATAGCTTAAAAAATTATGCAGTGGCATTGTTCTGTAAATATTGTTAAAACAGAAGGGCACCTGAAAAAAGGGCATTCTGTTTTAATAGCATAGATGAATCGATTGGCAAATCATCTGCTTACATTTTACTTTACATAAAAGACATGGCCGACCCAAAGTTCATTCAAAGGAAAAAGGTACTAAGTATTTATTTTGACCAACTATAAGTTGATTTCATGACTAAAATTTTTAGATAAAATACTAGTGATTTAAAATATTATATGTTTAAATCTTCAGAAAAATTTAACATAATATGGATTTCGCAGATGTGCATGCCTAAGCAAAAAACCTTCTAGACATTGAAAGAAGAAAAGTACTGAGTACTACAAAGACACTGAGGTGAACAAAAAAAGAAAGAAAGAAATAGAGCACAAATTGCTCAGAGAAACAATGGAAAGTGTAAGTCAAAAGGCTAAGAGAAACTGTAACATCCCAATGTTTATTTTATGTGAAAAAAAATTAAGAGAATTGTATCCAATACTATTTTACCAAAGTGCACTTATCTTTTCTTTCACACATCCATTTAGAAATTTTCAGGATTAAATGTGTTTGAACTGGAATAGTGGAATAATAGGTTATCTATCGAAAATTGATTCTTGATATTATATGAGTTTTGTTCAAAAAAAAAAGATATTATATGAGTTTGATATTATTTGAGTGAGGACAAAGCACGAAAAAAATCATGATTGCAATGTCAGTAAACATGATTTTCGAGCTTACAAAAAATTAATACATCAGCGTCAAAGGGAATGGGTTTACATGTTGAGCGGGCGTAGGAGGCTCATTAACCATGGAGATGCAAATTACACGACACTACAAGCATCTGCATGATATCAGGTAACCAAGCTGGGCTACCCAAAGCTAGGTATATATAAGACTGGAATTAGCCATCTTTAGTAACAATCTTCGCAATCTCTCGAGCAAAAGAGTTGAGGTGAGAGACTTATTCGAAAGAGCAGTGATAAAATCGAGCAACCACTTGAAAGATCAATTGAATTAACTCTCTCTAACTTCGCTGTTGGGCCCAAATTCGGTCTCAGCCCGAATGATTCGTACGCGTGAGGTCCAAGCTACAAATCCGTAAGAGACTTGTTGATTAAATATTTTGATCAAAAACATAACTAAGTAAATTGACTTGAGGCTAACATAAGACGGAAATATATGCTACAACTCAAAGACAAGACACAAATGTACAGAGCAGGAGATTCTAATGAAAGAACCACGAAAGAGAAGTAGAGTACATGGTCTGGTTTTAATCAGCACAAAGAGACGCCATAAGACTCCTTGGCGAGCACCAAACGGCAAGATCAAACAATGACTCTTCATCTTCTTCTTGTTCAACTCTACATATGTTTTCTGCAACTTGGCAGAGATTTGAGACATCGTTGATGATCGCTCCTTGTGCTTCTGCCTGCAAAAAAGACCATTAACAACAACATTCTTCATCAAATATTTCAAACATATACAATTATTTGATTGGGTAAAACAAAAACAAAAAACCCTAATTACCATAAAAATAAGCTCGTCGAGCAGAGACGACACCGTTTTGGGAGCATCTTCTCCGCCATGCTCTAAATCTCGAGACGACGACGTTTCTCTCGCGTTTAACCTCTCCTCTCGCTCCGCCGTTTGAAATCTAGCGGCTTTCTCTTGCATAGCACTAAACCTGTTCGACAAAATCTCCCACTGATCCATCTCTCTCTGATACTTTCTCTTGAGCTTCACCAGCGTTCTCTTCTTCCGAATCCTCCGATTCCTCTCCTTTACCGCCGGATTCAACTCCGGTTCAACCGGTTGGGATGAGTCTCCGTAGCTTGAGATATGGCTTCGCTTCACTCGCTTGTGAACGAAGCCTTCGTCGTTACAAAGCGCCCAATCTTCGCATCCTTCCATAACAGGGGCTGTTGCTGGGACCAGCAGCCGAAAATGCTGCGATTTGAGTTTGAATTCGAATTTGTTTTTCAGAAGATCTGCAAATGGGAAGATTTGACAGCTCAGTCTTCTATTGACTAACTCGAGATAATCATCAAATTTGGGCCTTAAGGTGAATATATAAGGCCCAACTTGTAGTAAAAATACATTGGCCCATAAAAAAATGTATAATATTGGGTGTGATGAAGTGGTTGATTCTATTTGAAATGATGCTAGTTTGATAATTTGTATTGACTTCTTAGAGTTGGTGTGACTGAGTCACTGACTGCCATGAATGATCAATTATCGAGTTAACCCTGTTTTTTAACTTTATGTGTTTATATCCTTGTCTATTTATAGAACTTCAAGAAAACTATGGTTTGATTGGAATGTGAAAGGAAATATGCCCAATTCCAATTTCTTGTCCAAGCCCACAGCCCAATAATGGAAATCTGCAAGAAGAAAGACGTTAATGTCGGTTAGTTATGTAAAGGAAATTAAGGAAAGGAAAACTAATGACGGTGGGTGGCACTATAAATAAAGAAGGTGGTCAAGGCAGTACAGGATCCGAAACACAAAAGACCAAAAGGAAGAGAGCTAGAGAGAGATTAGGGTTAGAAGAAACTAGAGGCAAGAGACATTGTTCGAGTCATGTCGCTTCGAGATAGAGTTTCTTTGATCTCTCTTATTTTTTGTTGTGTCTTCCTATTGAGCGCTTAGAGCGTTTGTGTAAAACCCTTTGATTGATAGTGAATGTTGTGGGAGACAGTTCCCACCCGAGACGTACCGCGCTAGAGGCCGGGAACTCGGTGATCAAATTCTCTGTGTTATAGAATTAAGCAATCTAACGATCGAGAATTCCTAACAAGTGGTATCAGAGCAATCCAGGTTTTGATTGCAAATAAGGAGTCCGAGCAGAATCGCAAAGAAGAAAGATAATGGGACCTATCTATTCTTTGAGGAAGCTGCGATCCATCGTCTCCGAGTTTCAGGGTAGAAAGATCAAGGGTAATGTGTCTTTGCTTAGGGAAGTACAAGGTGTTGATGCAATAACATTCATCTCAAAGGAAGTCGAGCAAGCTTCTGTATCGATAGTCTTCTTAACAAGATTGGAGTTAAGTGGCGTGTTCCATTCTTCGTAATGGCGGTATGAAGTGTTCAAGGCTGATCTATCGAAATAGAGGAGGTTGTTACTACCTATATTTCAAGGGATTTTAGATCAAGGTGGAGATGATGTTAAAGCTTCAAGTTATGGTTCAAAAGGTGGTAGTGTTTCGTGATCATCAGTGTTTCAAGAAACGTCAGTAGAAGTTGATGGAGATGATCAAGGATTCAAGGAAGATCATGTCAAAAGAAGTTGACGGAGATGGTCAAGGATTCAAGGAAGATCATTAAGGAACTATATTTTAGAAGATATCTTGCAAGGCGTAGGAGGCTGCATGTTCTAGGTGAATTGGTTCTCAGAAGTTATCTCGCAAGGAAATATGCAATGGGTTTTGTGTCGATAGTCTTTATAACAAGGGAGTTAGACGGCGTGTCCTGTTTTTTTTATAAACAGCGGTACAAGACATGTATATGTTCGCAGTGCTGGAGGAGATGTCAAAGTTTTGCGACGTCAGTATTGAGATGGAGATTAATGGTGTATTAGTCTAAGTCTATCACATTGAGAACATGAGGAAGACTCCAAAAATAGAAGAAGGCAAGATTTGAAATAAGAAGAATGAACGCATAAGTTAAAGCTGCGTGGAGAGTAGGAAACAAGTATGGTTATTATTTTTTTTTGGCATCACAATAAGAGAATTGAAAATTTCTCTAAGAAGGACAAGGAGATAAACTCACGTGAGGAAGCAAATTAATGGATCAGAAGGAGTTCTGATGATTTGTTCTAAGGGGTTGTGATGCAGGAATCAAAGCAATGATGTGTTAACAATACAAAAAACAAGTATTGCGGGGTGTTTTTTGTTCAGCTAGGGATTGGTATCATGGGGTCTAGAAGTGATATCAAAGAAGAGCTGTTACAAAGAGGAGTCTCAAGAACCGGAGGATTGGTGTGAGACAAGGAAACTAGCAGTTAGGTTCAAGACTGTTAGAAAAGGTTTGTTTAAACAAGGATTGTTTGAATTGTTTTACAGCAGAAAGGTAGTCACAAGCTCGAGGTGTGATGGAAAGTGGCTGTAAAAGGAAGTCTCAAGTGTCATAGTAACATAGTTCATGGAATGACAAGAGGCTGGTCCTACTAGAAACGAGAATATGCTAGTAATAGATAGTTTAAACAGAAGAACTGAATGAAAGTTGTGTCGAAAGTCTTTCCAACAAGAGAGGTTAGGAGGCGTGTTCTATCATGGATGATGGCGGTACAAGATGGATTCATGTTCTGGATGTTTAAACACAAGTCAACAAGCTTAATCTCAAGGGCTTCAGGATGGATGTTGAGATTATTTTAGAGGTTAGATCAGGGAGTGTTTCAGGTTGAAATATGATTCAAGGGTATACTTCCATACGATTCAACGGAAGTTTGATTCTAAGATCAGTAATGATAAGAATCAAAAGATATCAAAGGGAATCAAGTTGCAAGGTTTTGATAGTTTGATAAGGTAAATCAAACAAGGTTTCTCAAAAGCTCAAAGTATGGTGAGAAGGTTACCCGCGACACTTATGAAGCTATGGTGAATAGATATTGGCTTCAGGTGGAGTAGCTACAAGAAAAGCAAAAGAAATTGCTTCATGTGGAGTAGCTGCAGAAAAAAAAAAAAAAAAAAAAAAAAAAAAT